AAATCAGAGGACTTTAAGGCAATACAGATAAGGAAATTGTAATTGGCCTCTTGGAAATTTAACATTCTGTGACGAGTCATTCCAAAATGTCCAACTTTTTTAGATAATAAGGGAACTGGGTGTTTATTGAAACATCTTCGGATACCGTTAAACCTTCTAACATTAATTTTTAATAAAAATGCCCTCAAAGTCAATACACAGCCCATTCTGCTAGTGGGACAGCTTAACGCGGGTCGTCTTTCAACCCCCCTCCCCAGCGTAATTTTTATTGATAGATATCTTCCTTGGTTAGCATGGATACAACAATCAAAACAAAATCTGCATGAATTCATGACCTACTATTTAAAAACAGTAAAAAAGGTTTTATTAATTTTCATGATTTTTAAAAACAGGTGAGGTGCACTACAGTCTCAACCAAAATAGGACACACGAAACAATTAAATCTTATAATTTACAAAAATCGTGACGGGCCGTAGATAGTACAACAGCGGGGTGGACGGCGTGTTTGACAGCCTGTTCTAGGGGTGCATTAAGTTTCAACCCCCACTAAAAAGATTAGCAAATCTATTAATACCGTTATTTTGTACTTATTTGTACCGCGGATACCAAATTTTGTACCACTAAGTTTTAATCGTTAGAACTGAATCTACATTGGGGTTGCAACTTAACGCCACAACCCCAAATATTCAGATTCTTAAAAATGTTTGTGCCATAATTTTGTACTCATTTTATACTAATTTGTACCGTAAATAATAAGTTTTGTACCACTACCTTTTAACCACTAGGACCAAATCTACATTGGGGTTGCAACTTAATGCCACAACCCCAAGTATACAGATTTCTATAAATGCATGGCCCATAATTTTGTACTAATTTGTGCTGTAAGTAATTAATTTTGTACCAGCACTTTTTGACCGCTAGGATCAAATCTATTTTGGGATTGCAACTTAACGTTACTACCTCGTGCATATATGTACATCCATAAAATGCTTGAGCCATGATTTTGTACTTATTTTCTACTAGTTTGTATCGTAAGCATCAAATTTGTACCACTGTGTTCCAACCACTAGGGGTAACAACCCAATATTTGTGCCATGATTATGCACCAATTTGTATCGTTATCATGAAATTATGTACGTACGTTATTTTGCCCCTCTTTTCAATTTTTCTTAGGTATGTAGTTGTATTATATCTCCGAATCCCTCGTCGTGGGGGTTGGGATATCAGCATGTAGAACATGGCGGATATTTTTTATTGTATTTTTTTTTCAAAAGTACTGGATATAAACAGAAAGTATAATACTTTTAAAAAATGGATTTGAATGATCTTTAAAATGAGCAACTTTCAACCCCTTTTCCCTATTTACATTTTATAGGAGCCGCTTCTGCTCCCGTCAAAGGGTTAACCTAATTTAATCCGTAACCAGCCGATAAAATATCCCCCCTGGAATATAAACTTGGACAAGTGTTTCTTCTTTTTAACCTCTCCAATAAGAAATTGGGAGGTCATTGAAATCATTCTAAATTTCACGTAGGACATGATTCTTGTAAACAAGGTTCAGCCGAAACTACCCGACCGATTTGGTGGAAATTTGAAACAAATGTTCCCCTAAATACTGTTGAAGAGATTTTGAAAACGGTAAATGCCGAGGTAAATGCCTTTTTGGCAATAAAATCGATATTTATTGAATTACGTATAACTTTGTAAGAAATTTAACAGACCAATTTGGCATAAATTTTGTACTAATGTTCTCTAATGGTCCTAAAAGCTGAGAATTTTGGAAACGATTGGAAAACAGGGAATGCCCTTTTGGCTATAAAAATTGTATTTATTAAAATAAAGTAGAAGCAACAAAATTTTGATTGAAAGAAAGCCGTGGAAATGTTATGTCACGTCTAATATCACCGATTAATTAGTTTGACAGCTCGCGTTAAGAGTTGATTAAATACAGTTGTGGACAATGGCTATTTATATATCAATAAACTGGGTCTTTATGGATGAGCCGTTTATTTAGCCGAGCGAGCTTGCGAGCGAGGCACAAATAAACAAGTCGAGTCCCCATAAAACCTATTTATGGACGCGATATATACAATGCACGACTGCAACATCCCTTAAAAATGAAAATTTCATGGAATTCAATAAACGATAAAATCTATATATCATTGACAACAGATGTCAAGCATTTGTCTAAAGTACTTGAATTTACCTTGGATTGACACTTAAGTACGACTGTCACATTGACAGGCGGCCGTTTTACTTTATCATTATGGACTAGGCCATAATATTGCAAATTATGGCCACTAATTGCGACTGTAATCACCCCATTATCAAGCAGTCGTACATAAAATAATACAATAGCCGTGCTATTGGTAAGGTTCCATATTTTTTTGTTGTAGCACATCTATACAGGGTCGTACGTTTTCAAATTGACATACTGTATATTGTACATATCTTTACGTTCAAAACGTGATGAAAGATAGACAAAATTACATTGAAATTATATACGGTGGTGGTTTTCACATTACACGCGTTTTATTATGATGCTCATATCGAACTTGTATCATTAATATAACTATTTTTTAAAATTTAATTCATCTAACTTGCCTTATTTTGAAGTGTGGGACTTATAATCACTCCAAATACCAAAAATATTTATATTCAGGTTAGGTGCATAGAGAAAGAATAGGGCTTTCTTAAACACTTAAACAAATCCAAAACCAGAACTACAAGCATTTTCAAGTAATCAATTATCAAGGCTGCATCCGCCATTTTTTTTCTTAAAGTCAAAATAACTTAAAAACCATAAATGGTAGATATCGACATGTGGGTATCAAAAGAACTGTAATTTCACGTAGAATCCAAAAATATATAAGGGTTGCCATTTAAAATAACGAAGTTAATAGCTACTTTCGGTTTTTCCGGAAGTGCGACCATTTTGAAAATATTTTACAACGATTCGGCCTTCAGAGTAACTCCTAAGTACAAATTTACGAAAACCTACCTATTTCACTTTCCCAGAAACGTTTAACTAAAACTCCCAAAAAAACACCCTGCATAGGCAATGTATTTTTAACTCTAATCCCCTAAAATAAAACTAAATGTACCTACTTAAAGATAAAAACTTGTAACAATATAGCAAACGAGCTCTTGGGTCAAACATTTAATACGTTCTTCTTTGGGTGATGATAAACATAATACTAAAAACAGAATGGGAAAATTTGAAACCGTTCGGGAGTTATCTTGTCCATAAACGGGCGGAGGGACGGACAGAAAGTCCAAAATCATGAACTCGCTAGGAGCTCGTTAATAATATTAATTAATATAAAAAATAATATAAATTCAAATGACGTTGTGAATGTTAAGATGTGACATTCTTTCACAAAAGGTGGCGGTAAATTTTTATTATTTTATGTTGCTCCTTTCGAATAGCTTTATATTGGTCCTAAGGGAGGGATCTAAGATGAATGTTAGTTTAGCTGTTGGAAAACGGCTGCTATGTTAGAGCGCATTCGCAAATTTGTTTTTTATGGTAAACGATCCACTGGTCGTGATGGTTGATCCAGAGTTAGTTTCTTCGTTATTCTAATTTTGTTTATAACTGGTTTCCAAATTGGTGATAATCTTGACCCATCGTCTCATTTATTTATAGCAATGGGTCGACGTTGAATTTCAATGGATTCTCTATTATCCTTTCATTTAAGTTGTAAATTGGAACTAGAAGTGTAATGTTGTTATGTCCTGTTTCCGCATAATGCTTTGCCAATGAATTTGAGGATATATCCTAATTTGGTTTAAAGGATAATCATTTCGACGTAATCTTTCTCTTAAATGATTTAGTTCCTCTGTTCTTGAATATTGATCACTTAATCTGATTAACCGAATTGTTAAAGATTTAATAATTCCATTTAATTGTGTAGGATAATGATGAGAATTTGCATTAAGATAACGGTTGGTATGGGTTTCGTTTCTATATATTCAATTCCAATGTATTATACCAGGCATTTAGACACCTTCACTTATCCCACTCCAAAATCCGATCTTCTTCGTAGAACTCCATCTTTAATAATGGCATGTAACTACAATATGAATTGTCAGAACTGCGACATTAATTATAATTTATTATGTTTAAAAAAAATGGAAAATCCACAAAAAAAATTAACTAAGAAAAAGATTTGCCAAGAAGAATCAAACGGATCTAGATGAAACGAAAAAGTCCAAAGAGCAGGAAAACGGTGAAAGTTAGAAAATTCAAATCTGTATTCTGAAGGAGTGGAATGTGTAACGGGAATCCGCTGTAGAGCCAAGGATTTGGTGTGTTAACTTTTCTATGCCCATTCCATTTCGTTTGTTTCTTGTCGTTGTCCATTTAGTATTGTTAAATTGTACCCGTGTAGGTAGGGGCGGGGGAGAATAACCCTACCGCAGGGACACTGCGTGTCGTAAAAGGCGACTAAACAACGGAGGGTACCTATTTGACGATTTCCTTGGGTTTTATTTAACCGCTTCTACCTTTCAAATCGTTCTCAATTTCCTTTTTAGAGTTTAAGAAACGCATCTAAACTTTGAGTAACAGATGTTTTTCGAAAAATGTTCATAGATCGTTCTAATGACGTCCACAAGTGTTCTTATTCGTACACTGGACCGTAGATGGGTTAATACGGGCAGATTTCTTCCTAAATTTTTGGAACAAGCACCTAAAGTTTAAGGAACACATCTTTCATTAAACGCCCGCGAATTAATTATAGCTGTTATTTTTCGTCTGTCTGTGTCAAGTATCGTTCTTTTCAAAATATATAAAATCTATAGCAGAATGCATAAAAAATATCACTGATCTTGCCCCCGAGCAGTGGTTGTTTTAAAGCTAACACATCCGGAATATTAATTTAGGGGGGCTCACATAAAATCAATAACGCAATTAAAGATGTGCGTAATATTAATACGTGAAGTTTATGATTCATTACTACAACTAATTCAAGTTAAATAAATTAGTAAATACTCACTGATTACGTACATGTACCCAGTTTCGATATTCGTGAAGAAATTCGGCGCGTCCGTGGAAACCTCGCATCTGTACCTTCCCGTCGAGATCGTCTGCACGTCCCGAAGGACCACCTGATTTGGACTCGAATTGCTTAACTGAAAACGTAATTTTCACTTAGTGCATAGGCCGCATTATTCTCTTTCAATCGCCTTCCTCTCTTTACGCGCGTATATACTTACATCAACGGCAATGCCGGAAAGTGGAAAGACTTGGGTATTCGGTAGCTCCTTTGGGAGATAACGATAAAATTCGCTTTGCCCCTTATACCATTTAACCGTATATAAAGGCTCACCTTCCAGATTAAAACGGCAGTGTAGAGACACCGAATCCCCAACTACCACAGCCTGAGGTACTATCACCGAAACATCTTTTAACGCTTTTGAATCTGAAACAAAATTGCGTATAAATATCAATTTTATCTCGTTATCCCGGAGCACTTTCCAAACATTAAGCAAATGTCGGTGCTGCCCTTATTCATTATATTATTGCGACGCGATGGTGGTGTTCGCAATTGTACACTTGCATTAAAATAGAATTACGAGCAACTATACCAACAGTAAGTGCTACCCTCTTTCTTACACCATTTCTTGTTTATGCTTTTTATGCCAATCTGAGAAATTTACGCGAGACGGGGTTCATACAGATTAGCTACTTCGAGCAAATAGTATTTAAGTCTGAATACATCAGGGTGAAAAAGAACTGTTTTTTACTAAACGTCAATACATATTACACTTGTCACTCAGGATCAATGCTAAAAATATGCTCTGACATATCTCTCTTATCTTTCTCGGTATGGTTCCTCAAGGACCTTGATTTATCAACAACATGCATCGTTTTAGAAACCCTTCGGGAAAAACTCGGCTTTCTAAAAAAAGAACTCCCTCCGGATCTCTGAATTTCCGTTGAATTTTTTTAGAAACGTAAGCCGAGATAGATTTGTTATTTGTTTAACATAATATTTGGGCCAAATATGTTCTTGTCAATTTTACACCCTTTATCGAGTTGCGATTAAATAATGATGCAATTTTACTCAACTTTCTAGTTCCGGTAATTTTGTGGCATAAAGTACCAAAAATGAGGGTGTCCATTTGGTGTATGATGAATCTGAACTTAAGGTTTGTTCCACCTCTTAGGAACAAACAGATTCTTTTCTTTTTTATTGTTAAGTGCGAAATTGCTAATTGTTTCTTTGCTGGACTTTGGTGTCGTTCCAATTTTATATTTAGTTACGAGTGGTGCCTGGCATATAGCTACCCTTATATCTAGACGTAAACGCCGTATCGATCACCAAATCAAGATTTAGAATCAATTTACTTTATTTGTATTTTTAATCAATAATCACGTTAATCATTAGTGACGATATTCTTTCAACGTCCATCTTATACAAGCATATCCAGCAATAATTACATTCATACAGTCCATATACAAAAAATATCCAAGCAACAATAGTTATTTGTAAAACTAGTTTTGAAAGTGATATTTTTTTCATGAACTTGCAGTTTGAGGGCATCAATCTTGCAAATTCATGAAAAAAAGACACTTTCAACACGTGTTGTACAAGAAATTTTTTGCATAGTACCTTAATAACGCATAATTGAATGACATTCGCGATTTACTGTCACTCAAAAATTGTTCATAGACAGGACTAACGCAAAGTAAAAATCGTGCAAAAAAGTACCACTTTCCATACGATTTTTTGAAACCATCATTAGAATCCTGTGGACTCTGAACATGTTGGGGGAACGCGCAACAACTGGGGGTTATGGAAACCTCCCAGGAAGACCCTTTCCAGAAAAATCTCACCGTAGCTTTTGAGAAAAGGTGATCAATTCTTCCCGCATGCTCATGATTATTTTTTAGCGCATTTACCAACGAAGTTGGGTGCGCTATCGCAGCTACTTTCTCTGTCTGTTCGTCCGTACCACCGTCCGCCTGTCCATCCGTCCGAGGGAGGCCTTAACTACTACAGTTTTCAATATATTTAGTTCTTCCTTTTGAATTCAGTAGCTTATAGGTCTGACACCTGAGCCGAGAAGAACCTTCACAATGAGTGCGCCCATGCACAGGCTGCACGATATCAACTTTATTTATTAATATATTTTGTTGAAATTTTAACCTCAGATACTTCTAGTAAAATCAGACGTATCGCATATTGTACGTAGTATCACCTGTCTTATTTATCGAGATATCTTTTTTGAAATTTTAAACACAAACGCTTTTGTTAAAGGCAAACATATCTTATATTGTAAACATTAAATGTGCGCATGCGTTTATGCGCATTCTGTGCAGTGCCAACTTCATTTTTTATGAAGATATTTTTTTGAAATTTTAACCACAGATGCTTCTATAAAGGCAGATATATCGCATATTGCAAAAATAAGATACGCGAAGTAGATTGTGCAATGCCAACTTTCTTATTTATTGAGATATTTCTTTGAAAGATATTTTAACCGTGCACGCTTTTAGTAAAAAAAAACATAACCGTGGCCTTTTTAGAAGTACTGATAAACGCATGAAAAATGCATTAAAGTTACTCGCCGTAGGGCCAAAACCTTTTTACTTGTTAGTGCCTAAAATTAGAATTGAACATGATCCATATGGAATACCCCCCCCCTCACTCCGAAAAAATCAGAAGATTTGGTGACCCTTTCCAGAAAGCAGCTGCCATGGCAGCTTTCGAGAAAAAGTTATCAATCCTTCCTGTGCGGTGGAGAGGGGGGGGGGGTATTCTACACCTAAAAAGGTTGTTAACAGTTATGGCGGCCGATACGGTCGGGGTTTCTAATGCTCCTAGTAAACCGTGTAAAAAATGTAATAACGTACCCGTAAATGGTCTTAAGTGTGTTACATGTGCATCACTAATACACCCGGGATGCATTAAATACTTAAAAAACGTTGTTATGTTAACTGATACTACGGTAAATTGCTGTGTAAATAATGCGAATATTGAAATCGTGCAAAATAATGACAAGGACATCGACGCAATGGATAATAAACTTAATGTAAGTAATTCCACTGAAGTACATTATTTAAAGGAAATAATTAAGCAAAAAGACTTCTCAATTAAATGTTTAAATGACACGGTTAATGCCCTAAGGGAACAACTTAAACTGATAAACTTTTTTCAAAATTCTACCTTGACTACAAATTCAAATGGCGAAAAAAGTCATCCCAAAAATCTTAAGACAGAGGCTAAATCTAATAGCTCAACAACAGGTAAAGACAAGAAAAAATCATATGCCAATGTGGCGCAACATGCCCAAAACGAGTCTAATCAAAGTAACAAGGACGGTAACCTCGACGGTAACAGTTCCATGAACTTTCAACTCAGTTCTGCACCTAATCAGAAAGATACGCCACACGTTTCCACACAAAAGGACAAACCTAAAGACAAAATAACGCCGCAAGCTATCAGTGGATTTGCTTCTGGTCCTGGCGATTCTACGGACGAAACCGCAAAAAACAACCATTTCACTACAGTAACGAGGCACAAACGGTCCCTCAAACCTCGCACTCTCTTATCAGGAAGCGCGACAAATGGAACGCTACTGGGAGTCCAAAAGAGGATGCATTTCCACGTATGTCGGTTGCACCCCAACACGAATGAGCAAACTCTCATTGAGTACCTACGAAAAAATGCAATTTTAGATGCAGAAGTGGTAAAGCTGACTTCCAAATTTCCTGACATATATTCCTCGTTCAGAATATCTGTGGAGGAAAATTTAAAGGACACTGTACTAAGAGCAGACTTATGGCCCTCAGGCGTTCTCATTAACCGTTTTTTCTGGAAGCGTCCGCAGGCAGAGGACCAAGGATAACGCAAACCATTTCAACAGCGAGTAACCGCATATCGGTGTTCAATATTAACATACAGTGTTTAAGGTATAAGGTGAATGAACTTGAGGCGTTTTTTGGTGACATTAATTCGACCATTCATTTTATCTGTGTAAGTGAGCACTGGCTCACTAATTCAGAGGTAAATGGAGGGTTCCAAGTGGGGCCATGGGGATTTGCGTCTGCTTTTTGTAGATCGGTAAGTGTGCACGGTGGAGTCGCAGTCTTGATAAACTCTAAGTTAAATCTAAGTTGTTCTGCAATTGCCGATATTAGTGCATTGTCATGTGAGTTACACTGTGAATTGTCAGCAATCTACTGTGCCACGTATAATGTAGTGATCATATCACTGTATAGATCACCGTCGGGAGACTTTGACATATTTTCTGACACCCTTACTTCGATGCTACAGTCTTTAAATCACACTACGGGTATTATAATAGCAGGGGATTTCAATGTAAACTTTAACACTCAAGACCCTACTGCATTGTTCATCACAAACTTGCTAGCAACTTATGGGTTTGTGCAAACAGTTAAAGAACCTACTAGACTCTTGAACTGCTTGGACAACATTTTTATCAATTTTTCTACCAATGACTTCTACACAACTATAATGAACACTAGACTATCTGATCATCAGGGACAAATGTTAACAGTGAGTAGAGACAGTAAAGTGCGTGATACCCAACTAGAGTCAAAATGTTATAGACCTATTACTAAAAGGGGTAATAATTCCCTGTTTAACATGTTGAGTAATTTTAGTTGGCATTATCTAGCTGATATTAACTTAGATGTAAAAGCTAAATTTAATATTTTTCACGGCAACTTTCTTGATGCGTTTTCAATTGCATTTCCGAAACGAAAGCTGTCGACCAGAAAGCGTGACTCGGGAATTAAATGGTTCACTAAAGAAATTAAGTTGCTGAGAGACAGGTTTCACTTTTTTACTGACTTTTACAACCAGTATAAAACGGAATCACTGAAACGCATACGAAATACTTGTCGTGCGCAGTATAGAAATGCTATTAAGAATGCGAAAATTAATGCTTGTGATAAGGTAATTCGTAATTCTGCAAACCCATGCAAAATGATGTGGACTATGATTAATAATCAGAGAAACAACGTTAAAACGACCAACTCCCTAAACATGAGAGCTGATCAAATTAACAAACATTTTATAAGCGTCGTGGAGGACAAAGTGAAACAGCCACTAGCATCCGCTGTTGATTCTCTTGCTATCGCTAGTGTCAAATTTAGTGACGTTCACTTTCAAATAAAGGAAGTAACTCCATGTAAAGTAAGAGACGTGATCAAGTCGTTAAAGAGAAGTAACACTAAAGATATTTATGGAATCTCATCCTGTATTATCAAGTATAGTATTGATCAACTAGTTCTGCCCTTAACGAAATTGGTCAATCTTACACTACTCTCCGGATATTTTCCTGATGAGCTGAAAGTAGCACAGGTCATTCCATTGTTTAAATCGGGAGATTCAAAAGATATAAAGAATTATCGACCAATATCAATACTCCCTACGTTCTCAAAAATATA